GTCATGTGGGGCAGCTAACAGGGAAGAGGAAGTGTCTATTAATCATACGATGGGGAGAACATTTGTGTTTCCCCTTGTTCCTCCATCTGGGAAATAGTGGTCAGAATTATGTAAGGATCTTACAACAAGGAACTGAGTAAAGGAGTGACCTACTTTAGTTGAAATCCACATGCTACTTAAATGCTAATGCAGCTATTGAACATTACTTATCTAATGCCATGCTTTGGAGCCATTGATGCCATTATTAGGACTATTCAGTTTTCTTTACTGAGCTATGCAAGTAAAGTGTTTTATTGTAATGACAAGCCCCTATATGATGATGATGTAATGGAGTGGTGTGTCTAATACAGCCAATACCTGGGGAGTGGAGTGAAATATGTGTTTTTCTAGATTAAAACTGGTTTGATCTGGATTTGGTGGTGATGAAGGAAAAGGAGTCCCCCATCTGATGGTGAGAGAAAAAATCCCCTCATGTAGCACACATCAGGTGACCCGTGCCTCTATGCTGCATGGGCCCCAGTTGATCGGCTGATTTCTGACTTAACCACGTGTCAGAATTAGGTCTATGTGTAGGAGCACTCTGTGAAGTGAGAATGGGAGAAGGAGGTCTAAGACCTCCATCTGTGCATGTTACAACATGGGGTTGGGATGAGCAACCTGGGATGGCATGCAACCTGTATGTTGAGGTGGTGACCCAGCTGCAGGTGACGGCTATATTGAAATAAACTGGTTCCAACACACAGGCTGGACATGTGCAATTAATAACATGCTACGTGGGTGCTTTTGGATAGGATGCTGAACACAAGGTACACAATGTAAACCTGGTTGGGTCAGGAGTGGTGGTGGTCAAGGGAAGAGGTCCCCATTTGGCGGTGAAGAGCAGACCCCTCTATGAAATACGCACCAGATGACCTGGGCCCCTGAGCTAAATGGGCCCCAGGTATTCAGCTTGACTGTAGGAGCCCTAATTGGGAACCACTGAAGAATTGCAAGACTTTGTGTAGTACGTACTCCCAGCCTTATATGAGTTGGTGCTGCTATGGGACCAGGGGGATGGTGTAATGGAGGGTTTCTATACCACCATCTGTACACAAGTAGGCAGATAATTCAAGTCTGCATGGGCTGTGGGGCAAATATAGACTAATGCAGGAGGCCCCTAGACATTCCTGCATTTCTGTAAGCCGCTTCAGTGTATTGACTACTTGGGACAGCAAGAAACTGAAAGCATTAGAATGTAAGTTGTCATAAGCAGGGCCCACCTAACCGTCCGCCTTGTATTAGATTGTAATTGTATTGTGTCCCTTATATTGTGCAGTGATATTTGGCAATACATACAGCCTGTATAATAATAATAATAATAATAATAATAATAATAAAAAACAGATTTATTATCAATGTAAGTACTAATTGTGTGAGGCACAATGTTGCTTCTAGTTTACTGATAAGCTGATTATTGATTAAGAACCCAAGATGGCCACCTCCACAGTGTATGAATGACAGGTAGACTTTAATCTTTTCATTGAGTTTTCACTATTTGCTGCCCGGCTGTACACAGCAGACAGTGACTGGAAGTACAGGATATATAAATCAATTTCAGTTTGGTTAGTTCCTTGTAAATCACAGGAGTTTGACCTTCCCTTGTCACTTTTTCGTATGCGAGAGGCACAAAGGAACAGAAAGTTCCTGCCATCTATTTACTTGTGCTCATTATTATATTCCCATAAAAATACATGTGAATAGTTCAAGAAAAAAAAAAACTGTACTGTTTTTTTATTGCAAGCTTTGTGCAGAAACATAAGGCTAGGTTAGCTAGAAAAGAGGAAAATACTAAAAAAATTAAGAAATGTATTTTTATTTTATTCATGTAGTTCTGATGTATTCCATGGTGCCGTGTAGAGAATATTCAACCATTCTGATTCACACCAGTGCTGACAATCTACTGTAAATATCAGTTACCAAAAATATTTTAAAGGAAACCTGTCGTGAGGGTAGGCTGCCACCGTGGACCTCTTTTTTTTAAAATACTAGTTGCCTGACTCTTTTTCGTTTCAGTACTCTTTGAGTCACTGACTCAGAGTGAATTATACTAAACCCAATCACTAAAGGCTTGTTCGCATGTGCTTTGGTCTCTGAAGAGCAATACAGATTGTTCTTGCCCTCTGTATTATGCTTGGGAGATTTCTATTCACTTCCTATCCTGGAGACACTGCAGGTGATTTAAACTAAAAGTTCAACTGGGCTTTAATTTTTCAAATAATTACTGTAACACCCTCCTAGATAGGTCTAGGATTAGGTAATTTAGTTTTGGCTCGCTGTATCCAGTAGAGCTGAATTCTTTTTGTAAGTAAATTTAGGTAGGCAGGTGCAGTCTACTCCACTACAGGTGGAGTGGCACCACAGCTGGAAAGAAAGTCAAGAGGAACACAATTCCTCTATGGGTTCCTGTGTCACTAGGGAAGCACCCAATTGGATGTTGTAAGCCTATGTGACTCTGGCGGTCACCTTGGGTCAAGTAGAGCCTATTTAAGGTCCTGGCTCCCAGGGCTGGCACGCTTTTTGAGAGTCGGTAGTGTAGGAACAGATACCCTGTTAGGGACAGTACATATGCCTGTTAGGGACAGTACTTGAGGTAGAAAAAGTTTCTGTCAAAAAGAGCAAATGTAGGGATGCAACTTCTTTAGACATCTGTCCGCTTATGTATGAGACAGCCAGGCCACTTTCCACCCTCTTACCAGATGCTGTCAACCCAGCTGGAACCTGTTATCTTCACATGTTGAAAACTGTGAGTGTACCCGGTTGGGCAGGTGTCTCTCCGAGTTTTTGTGGACTATCACTGCATTACTTCAATACAAGTTTTCCTATTGCACCTGTCTTTGTGAGATACTGCCACTGTGCTACACTGTCCCCCACATACATGTGTTTCACAAGCTGCACATTTGATTACTCCTCCTGCAATGTAGAACTCTCTGGGTGGTTCTGGAACATAGGCATAGAGTAAGGCAAATGGGCAGCATGAATATTTTTACTGTCTCCACCAATCCCATTGAAAGAGTGCTCAGATGGTTGCTGGGAAAGTGTATAAATAGCTTGAGACCTGGAACAGAATTGTCTTGTCCCTGAGAACGAGATCACAGCCTAGGGGGAGGATTGCCCCCAGGCCACCTGCCATGAGTAGGCTGTTCATCACGGTCACAGTTGGACGAGCTGGGGGACGGGTTTTGCTGGAAGTTACTGAAGTTGGCTGAGAGACCTGTGGCCTATTGATCTTGTCTGGTATCACAGGAAGAAAGTGTTTGAAAGGCATTGGAAGGAGACAGCTAATCATCTGAAGACATTTCTGAGTACAGACTGGTGTGAGAAATCCTTGAGACTGTATGCTGTTGCCACCCCTCTGGTGTTAAAGAGCCAGCTGTGTGTAAAGGGGACAAAGTGTTCAGTGCCCTGAAGAGCTCAATCTTTTTAATTCTTAGAGAAAGGACTTTGTTTGGCCTCTCTAAATAGAAAGACTAGTCTCTTCAAGTTGCTTACACAACACTTAGTCCATCTTGTTACATGTGCAAGAACTTGGCTCATAGTTCTGCAGAGGAGAAAGTGTCCTCCTGTTTGCACATACACAGGCCACTTTATTAGGTACCCCTGTGCATTTGCTTGGTAACACAAATTGCTAATCAACCAATCACATTGCATCAACTCAATGCATTTAGTCATCTAGATGTGGTGAAGATGACTTGCTGAAGTTCAAACCGAGCATCAGAATGGGGAAGAAAGGGGATTTAAGTGACTTTGAACGTGGCATAGTTGCTGGTGCCAGGCAGGCTGGTCTGGGTATTTCAAAAACTGCTGATCTACTGGGATTTTCACACATAACCATGTCTAGGGTTTGCAGAGAATGGTCCGTAAAAGAAAAAACATCCAGTGAGTTGTGTGGACGAAAATGCCTTGTTGATGTCAGAGGTCAGAGGAGAATGGGTAGACTGGTTTGAGATGATAGAAAGGCAACAGTAACTCATGTCAATATTATTATACAGGATTTATATAGCGCCAACGGTTTGCTCAGTGCTTTACATTATAGTGGGAGACAATACAGTAACAATACAGTTCAATACAAGAGGGATTTGAGGACCCTGCTCCTTGGAGCTTACAATCTAGGAGGGAGGGGTCAATGGTAAAGTAGGTAGTAACTGTGGGGGATGGAGTCGTTGGAAGAGTAGAGGATTCCAGAATTAGCAGAGGGCGGTATAGGCTTCCCTGAAGAGATAGGTTTTTAGTGATTGCCTAAAGGCAAGTAGAGTAGGTGAGAGTCTGATAGATTGAGGTAGGGAGTTCCAGAGGATGGGTGACGCCCTGGAGAAGTCTTGGAGACGAGCATGGGAGGAGGAGATAAGGGGGCTAGAGAGTAGGAGGTCTTGCGAGGAGCAGAGTGTATGGTTTGGGTGATATTTAGAGATAAGATCGGTTATGTAAATTGGGGCAGTGTTGTGAATGGCTTTATATGTCAATATGGACCAAAATCCCTGCGGAATTTTTCCAACACCTTGTTGAACCTATGCCATGAAGAATTAAGTCAGTTCTGAAGTCAAAAGTGCGCCCAACTCAGTACTAGCAAGGTGTACCTAATAAAGTGTCAGGTGAATGTATTTTTGGAGTATCGCACTCAATTCCTTAATCCCATCCAAGTTACCCAAAAAACAAAAACACCAAAAAGAATATCCCTGGGCTGTTCATTGAGCCAAAAGAGTGACTGTGGTTGTGTGCCTGGCTGCGGGGCAACTACTATGAAAGGAACCCTGGACATCCTTCTAGCAGGTCCTATGGGGGGTAACGTTACATAACATTAGCCCATTTGCTGCTGGTTTTCAGTAAGCTTCCTTTAGCCTTAAATGACAGTTAGCACAGAATGATATTCTCGCACAAGTATTGTACGTGTCAGTTGTCGCCAGGGGCGGACTGACCATTTGGAAACTCGGTCAGTAGGGGGCCCCATGAGATACCCCTGGTACCTTTTTCATAGGCTTTTTTGAGTTTGGGCAAAGACACAGGGCCCCATGATCCCCTATTGCCCGGGGGCCCCATGAGTTGTCAGTCCGCCCCTGATTGTCGCATACATCATATTTTGTGACATTATGCTAAAATCCTCAATGCTGTATTTAGGTGAAAACCCAATTATTTCTATAGAGACATGATATATAACACAGAAACTCTGAAAAAAAAAAAAAAAAAGATACAAATTTAGAAAACAAAATACAGTCAGACAGTCATCATAATAACTGTGTGAAAAGAGGTATTGATTTTTGCACTAGAGTTGCTTTTTATGTTCTTGTTAAACTTGGTAAAATGTAGTATCTTACTAATCCAATGCCAGGGGCTTAAAGAAATTCAATTATTTTTGAAAAATATGAAAAAAAAATAATCCCCAAGCCCCCCTTTAAGAAGAAGTGATAGGCAGTTTCTTGACTGCGGGCCAGCCTTGAACAATGTCATCATGTGTCAAAGTCTATGAGTGACTGAAACAGAGTTGAGTTGTGTTTTGAATGTCATAAAGGTGTTGCTGATTGAAGAGTGTAGACAGTTCCTTGAAAAATCTCTCACATCGAGCAATGTGATACAATGTCATGCACTTAGAAGTAGAAAATATTCCAAAGCCCTTAATACACTTCAGAGATCAAAAGAGAAAGAATTAAAGGTACTGAAAATGGAAAAGTACTGTTTTAATGAAAAAAGTACATAATGCAATAAATAGGTCTTGAAATTGTCCTGTGCCTAGATTAAAGTAGATGAGATAGGCCCGAGGCAATAAAAGAAGAACCAAATAAGCATAGGGCCTACATGACTAGGTGAGAAGGGGAATCAGGTAGCCAAAAGGTTAAAGCTGAATTCCAGCTACTTTATAAAAACTGCAGGCATACTATGAGTTAAGCCTAAGGAGGTGCCTGCCTCCTCATAGATGCATTTCTATTTTTCACATCTCACGGGTTTATTGTGTTCCAGGAAGATAACTTCTGGAGCTCCAATGTTGCTCACTGTGGTCTCAGTTCCTTCAAGAGCAGGGTCGCTGGAACTGCTATGCCCAGGGGTGTATTTATCACAAGGCAAACAAGGCATTTGCCTAGGGTGGCATTTTTCAGGGGTGCAGCAACATTTTTCAGAGGGGCAACGCTGCCCCACCAAAGAAGGGATGGAAGAAGGGACACACGCATAGGGACCAGGTGGGATCTGATCAGAGGCTGTGGGCTGCTTGATGGTGTATTCAGAGCCTAACTCTTGTTCCCGGGGATTTCCAGAGCTGTGAAGGTGAGTGTCTTCTCTCTCGCAGGGTTGGGAACGGGGTGGGGGGTAGTGGAAGGCTCTCTCAGGTGGGCGGTGGTGCTGTGGTGTCATTGGTCAATGTCAGTCTCTCTTCGTGGGGGAGGGGTGTTGGTTGGTGTCAGGGTATCTCTGTGGGGGGGGGGGAGCCAATTTTTGTGTTGTTGTCTAGGGCAGCACAAAAAAATAAATACACCACTGGCTATGTCTGCACCTCCCATTCTTCTGCCCATTCACAGAAGCCTTTGTATTATGTGAATGCATGAATGGGCAGCAGAGGGGAGGAGTGGGCATAGCTGCTCTGTGTGCTTCTCTCCTCTCACAACCGGAGTGTATCCATCGGTAATGCAATAAACCTGGCACATATTAGTAATAGCACTGAAGGTGACATGCAACTGATTGGACTTAACGTTCACCTTTGTAAAAAAAAATAATAACTGCACATATTTTTGCAGGTTGAAAAATGTGCATTTACCGCTCTGTTGGCAGCAATGTGAAGAAACAGGCTCTCTATTGCACATATTGTGGTCATGTAAATCATTAAGATCATTCTGGAATTTCAGTATAATTTCTGAAATAACTGGCAAGGTAAGTACATTTTGACCCTATCATAGCACTCTTTCATAATGGCCTAGAAAACTTCCCTCCTACCTCGCATAATATACTAATCCACCTGTTATATTCAGCCAAAAATAATATTACTAAACTATGGAAATCCACAAGCTCACCATCTCTAACTATGACGATCAACGACCTAAATTTCCAATGCAAAAAGGAAAGGAGATTTTCCTTGAATAACCTTTCCTACACCAAATTCTCCCGTTCATGGTCTACATGGTCTCGTAATCCAAAATGCACAGTTAAAATACGATAGCCCACTCAATTTGGAGTATTCGTCTTGTCGTTGACTGGTATACTGTTCACCCTCTTACCCTCTTGTTTCCCCTACCCTCTTCCCTTTTTTTTTTGTTTTTTTCCCCTTCCTGTTCTCTCAGATTCTTCTCTATATAGTATTTTAAATATTAATACTGTGTACTATGTCTGAAAATTGATACGTTCTATCTGTTGACAAACATTTCACTGGAACTTGCACAAATGAGAACTTGACTGTCCTTTCCCTTTTGTTGTTCCCCCATCTGTAACTATTCCTGTTAAAAACTTAATAAAGAACATTTGAATATAAAAAATGCGCATTTAATAATTTTTTTTTCTAGGAGCCTACAAGGCACTGCACCCTCAATCAGTACACTGTCGGCGTAAGCTGTCTGCTCGTAGGCAGTAGGCAGTTACACACTTACAGGAAGCATCGATGAACTACCTAGAGCGCTCAATAGTGCCCTGGTATTTCATTGAGAACTACAAGTCGAAAGCCACAAAGGCTGTCGGTACTTTTAGTTCTCCCATTCACAAAACTGGTTCATTTTAAATTGCAGCAAGTGCGGGAATAAGATCCCCTGATCCCTGTTACAACTGCAGATCCTGGGGGTACAGGAGCTGCTGAGATAATAACATGTTACATGTTACACCCTGAATATGGGGGTGTAACATGTTACAAAAGGTGAACTTACCCTTTAACTCATAGTGTGCCTTTAAATAGTGAAGAAGCGAGGTCTCTTTCCTGATTGGTTGGATGAGAGCTGGTTTAGTGGGGGCTCCACTGGTGGTCCAGAGAGAGGAGTTAGGCAACTTCAGTTGGAAAGCTGCAGATGACGAAAGAACTTCCAAACCACCCAGCCTATACTATGGCATTTGGTTAATTGGCCACAAAGTCAAAGCAGTTGCCATACGGTTTGGGGTTTTTGAAGGTGATAAAATGGTTGGAAACCCACCTTCAGGATGACATCCTTAATTCAGAGTAGTAACATTTGTAATGACTGTGTAGTTATGTGTAGTTGTCTGTAGTCAGATTAATATTGTCCTTGAGGCTGCTTGAGGTGACCAGTGGTGCGTTCCAAACATACACGTTCTGTTTCTGTGATGCCTTCAAGGATCTGCATCCTTATCCGTTTTGATTGATGTATAGTTATGTATACTTTATTCATAAGTGTTTTATAATAAAAGGCTTGTAAAGTAATTTAATCTAATCCAGGTGTGGTCTGTCTTCTTCAAGAAGAGTTTAAGGTAGAGTTGGGGAGGAGTCAAGCAGTGTGATATACATAGCTTGTTACATTTTAACTACCTCAGTCATAAACCCTAACTGAATGGCATTTAGTTTCCTCAAATTCTACGTATCATAAACCATTATGTGTTGTTTTGTTGCCTCACAGTGCATCTGATTTTGTGCAATCTGTTTGCAGTCTCTGTTTTTATACAGTTCACTGATGGCTCCATGGCACTTCTCAGAGCAGGTTTCCTGGTGGTAACAAAAGTAAACCTTGCCTGCATAATATAGGTTGAAATGGCCACTTGTCTCCATAGGAAGCCCAGATAACAGGATCACAACACAGGAGCACAACTGGGAGAAAGGGACAGAGTGTACTAGGAAGTTCCTGAACAAGGACCTTCATGACCAGGGGCGAACTGACAACTCATGGGGCCCCCAGGCAATAGGGGATCATGGGGCCCCTGTGTCCTTGCCCAAACTCAAAAAAGCCTATGAAAAAGGTACCAGGGGCATCTCATGGGGCCCCCTACTGACCCCGGGCCCTCGGGCAGTGCCCGAGTTTCCAAATGGTCAGTCCGCCCCTGTTCATGACAGATCACCAGATATTATTTTAATGAAAATTGCAGATTTACAAGTATTGAAAATTACTTTCCAAATTACTTTCCAAATCACATGTTAAAGCTTATAAATGTGACTCGGCTTTTATATATACTGTATATATATATATATATACTGTATATATACTTTCGTTATCCATAATAGCACCATCAAAAACAAATGTTGTAGTACATTGTAACATTCTTTGAACTGTGATATATTCTGCAAAAACATGTTACATTACAGCAGACTTAACCTTTTTCACCCTAGAAGAACCCCTAAAAAAAATTTTTCCGGTCTAGGGGAAACTCTTACTGAAACCTTTCATGGCAAAAATTCCCCATATACTGAAGGTCAGAAGGCAAATCCCCCCCCCCCCCTTTAAAGTGGTAATCAGTAGGGATCCTTATAGCTGGCCATACGTAGATCGAAAATCGACTGGTTCACCACCTGGACCACCTGAATTTCAATCGATCGATGGCCATTCATGTTCATGAGAAGTTGATCTATGAAGCAAATTCTCATGAACGGGCATGCTAGAAAATTTCCTTTTGATCAGCACTTGCATCTAATCGGTTGCAGTGCTGATTGGTGTATTCTGACAGTGAGGGAGTTTCAATGTCAGAAAACAAATACACAGCGGGAGGATTCCATGCATCCACATTGATTGTGTGGATAGAGGAACCGGTTCAGTTTATTTTTTTTTGTTCAGCCCACTGGTGGGGAGGGTACAGCATAGTGTGTCAGCAAGCAGAGAACACACAGAGGCCAGGATGAGATTTTGCATGTGACCAGGGGTGGACTGACCATTTGGAAACTCGGGCACTGTCCAAGGGTTCGGGGTCACTAGGGGGCCCCATGAGATGCCCCTGGTACCTTTTTTGAGTTGGGCAAGGACACAGGGACCCCATGATCCCCTGTTGCCCGGGGGACCCATGAGTTGTCAGTCCGCCCCTGCAAGTGACCACGGGTTCATTCTGTATCAGGTGGTCATTTCAACAAGAGGAGGGGCAGAAAAGAAAGGTTCAAACAGCCTTTTTACACAATGCGGAGGATTAACCCCTTAGGTTCCACAGTGAGTATAACAAGCATGTTTTACTGCAGCTATAGACTGATTTTACTGTTGTGGGTTTAGTAACACTTTAATGTGAACTTGTTGGCATCAGTCTCCCAAATCTATCTATCTACAAATCATT